TGCATCATCCCCCAGCTGCCAAATGGTGACCCACACAGACCACCCAGGGTCATTGCCGGGGTGCTCCTGCCCACCTGGCCTGAGTAGAAGTGAAGAGTCCAGCCTTGGGGGTCAGTCTTGACTGACAGTTCAGGCTCTGCTGTCAGATGGCCCTGGGCAAGTCATTTCCCTCTCGGGGCCTCTGTGTTCCCATGGGTAAAACCAGGACGGAGAGCGTTTGACAGGGAGTAGACTGGGTGGTCTCTAAGTTTCTTTCCAGGCTTAATATTGAAATATCCTGGCACTGACCGTGACATCATCCCCCACACATCTGGCCTTGCCTCTCTGGGCTGCCCTCGGGTCCCTGAGTGGAGAGTCTAGGTCTGAGAGAAGTCCCAGCCATTGTGCACAAGTGTGTTTGAGCATATGTGTGTGTGTGTGCATGTGGGGGTGTTGGGTGTGCAGGGGTGTGTATGTGAGTAGGAGGTACCAGAGGGACATCATCCAGTTATCTCACCTTTTGGGGGATCCTGCTCCTTTCCTCACCCAAACCCCAGCCATCCATCCCACCCCCACCCCCCGCCACCCCACTTCTCATTCCTTTGTCTTCTCTATTCCTGCTTCTGTGTCAAGTCCCAGCTCTGTGTTCCTTCTCTGTCTACACACACACACACACCACACACACACACACACAGACACATACATGTGGTCTCTCCCCCAGGGCACCATCCCCCAGGCCCTTGGCCCTCTTCCAAGAGGTGCCCACGGCTCCCAGAGTCCACCTTGGTCCAGACAGAAATGAAGATGGGTTCCACTGCACAATGACAAAGTCAAAGCATTTTTTCCGCTGAGATCTAAATGAAAAATCCGGAAGCCCGGCAGCACCATGATTTGTTACCCTGACATCGCCTCTCGACGCACTGAACAGAGTTTAATTAAAATCTCAGGAGTGATGAGGGCCCTTTGACTGTGCACCTCTGGGCTCTTCGAGGTGGAAAGGCAAGGTCTTTTCACAACAAGGACAAAGGCTCAAGGATGGCCTCTAAAAGGCTCAACAGGGTGGGGGGTTCGCTGTAGCTCAGGCAAGCACAGCCTGTGGGCCTGAGCCACACCCACCACTCCACCCACTTCACCAGAGAGGAGGCTGAGACCAGCTCTTTCAGCCCCTCAGCGGCTCCCAGTGACCCCACCCCATCGCCCACCACCCTGGACTCACCCTCAGGGCCGGCAGGGAGCTGACCTGGTCCGAGGTCAGGGTGGCCTCCTTGTAGTACTTCCCAGGCGGGCAGAGCTTCAGGAAGGTGTCGTGGATGCTGAGAAGCGAGATGTGACGGGCTGGGGAGTAGAGACCAGCAAGCCCCCTCCCTCCCTCCACCGTGCTCTTCGGAGGAAAGGGACTCAGGATTGATTGACACAGAAAAGGCAGTTATAAATCATCCACCCTTCCAGAAACATCCTTGAGGCTGCAGTGCACAGAGCTCACCTGGCGTGGGATGGGTGGGGGAGACATTCCCCAGGAGAGCACTGGGGACTGAAGGACAAGGAGAGGAGCCGGCTGCCCCAGCCGCAAGGAGCATTATCACGGTGATGGTCAGAATTGCAGGTGGGAGGTGACCATAAAAAGCAAACTGACTTTCAGTCAGTGTATGAACGTTGAAGCATTCTCTGAGGCCATGGGCCCAGGGCAGACGGCTCCCGCTGTCCTCATCCAGGGTCCCCCTGGGAGTGCCTGCTGCAGGCTGCCTCCTCTCGGGGACACTTTTCATGGAACCTGCGTGGCAGTCTCGCCAGGACAGGGCCATTATCTCTCATTGACAGATGAGAACGCTGAGGCTCAAAGAGGTGAAATAACTTGCCTAAAGTCACACGGTGGTCAGAGTGAAAGCCAGAGCTATAGACACCCGGCCCTTCCCCCAGGAGCCCAGAGAAGGAAGGTGTCAGGGTGGCTGAGGGAGACTTTAGGAACCTCGCCTGCCCCTGAAGCCCTCTCCTCATTTACCAAGCTCCATGCTGGGTGCACTCCAGCACATGATCTCATTGAATCTTCCCATCAACCCCTGGGAGAGACATAGGGGTGATCATTTCTGTAGAGGGGTAAACTGAGGCACAGAGCGTTTAAGGGGTGTGCCCAAGGTCAGGAAGCTTGGAAGAGACAGAGTGGGGTCTGAGCCCTAAACCTGGTTCTTCTGGCTGGGCCGCCCACCCCTAACGTGTCCATCCCCACCCAGGGGAGAGATGGAAGCCCCACCCCTCTGGAGAGCCGTGGGGAGGGGGTGCCTGGGGAGGGCCCTGCCCGGACTTCGTGCCTCCCCGGGCCGCGGGTGGGTAGGCTGCCTGCACATGAATCGTAGCTGTGTCTCAGCTGCCACCGAATGCCCTCCTCCTCCAAATATGGATCAGCCGGCTCTAAGTGGAGCTCTGAATTAATCACTAATGGACTCAAAGTCAAAGTCATTTAAAAAACTCACACACAGCCTGCCAGAAACCCAGCCAGCAGGCTGTGGCTCCGGTATACCTAGCACAGACGCGGGAGGAGCCGTCTGCGCGGGGAGAGGCGGGCACCAGCTCCACTGCGCACACTCGGGGGACCGTGAACCAGCCACGTCCCCTCCAGGCCTCAGTTTCCCCCGTGTAAGATGAGTCTGGGTGGTGCCCTCGCCCCGGCCCCTCCAGTTCAGACATTCTGTGGCTGTTTCTGTCCCTCTCTCTGCTCACCTCTTGCCTCTGAGGCCCTGAATTTAGGGGTTTTCCACTGGGTCCCTCATTAGAATCATGGAGGGGGCTTGTGAAAGGGTCCGTGTCCACCCCTGGAGATTTCCATTCAAGGCCGGGGCAGAGCCCAGGCACCGATAGGTTCTATAACAGTGGTTCTCAACCTTCCTAATGCCGCGACCCTTTAATACAGTTCCTCATGTTGTGGTGACCCCCCAACCATAAAATTATTTTCGTTGCTACTTCATACTGTAATTTTGCTACTGTAAACAATATGTAATTATATATGTGTTTTCCGATGGTCTTAGGCGACCCCTGTGAAAGGGTCGTTCGACCCCCCAAGGGGTCGAGACCCACAAGTTGAGAATCGCTGTTCTATAAGCTTCCTTCTGTGCTGCTGTGGTACAGGCAGGAGGAGAACACAGTGCCCGTAGGCCGGTCCTGGCTCAGTGGCCTGGGCCATGGGGTCAGCAGGCTTTGCCCAGGGGACAGCTTGCAGGTATTTTATAAATAGCCCTATCTTTAGCCTGCAGGCTTTTAGTCCCGTGATCGACTACTTCCAGGCTGCGTGCCTTGGGCACATCCTTTCTCTGAGCCAGTTCCCTCATTTGCCAAAAGGGGATGATAACACCATGAAAATAGCAATGACCACATACTCAGCACTGACCCTGGTGCCGTCACGGGTCGGGTCACCTCCTTGTCCTAATCACAGCCATTGCTCTCAGGTCACCCTCTTCCTGTAAGTGTGGAAACGGAGGTAAGAAGCTCACCCGCCGTCACACAGCTAGGAAGTGACCGCTGAGCCTCGGACCCAGGCCTCTGGCTTCCAGGAAGCAAGCCTGTCACCACTCCACCTGCTGACCTGGCGTTTGAGGAAATCCAGGAGCTCGGGGCCAGGACGGGGCCTGGAGCCCGGGGAAGTCTCCATTTCGATGGCTAGACATGCATCCTATGGATCGATGCTCACCTGTTGGATAAGCGCTTTGTGCATGAATATTGGATGTAACACTATTTGTAAAGCTGAAAACCATAAACAACCTAAGTGTACATTACAGGGGGTTGGGAAAATGAATTACAGTTCTTCCCTAGGAGGGAATGCTCCGTAGTCATTAAAAAAGAAAGAGGCAGATTTCTGTGCTTTAAGCAAAACCAGCCCAGATGAAAACTTTATAAAAAAGGTTCCGGAACAGTATGACTGCTACCCTATACATGAGTAAATGCGACAGTATGAAAGGGATACCCTGTTTGAAGGCTCTGTGTGTCGGTCTGTCTATGAAAGATTCTTCCGGAAGGCTAATGGGAAACAACTGAGCAGTGGCTACCTTTGGGGAAAACCTGGGCAA